TACAAACTCATCAGGTAGACAGCCTTCCTCTCCCACTCGAGCCTCCATACTCTGCTATCCCTGCCACTGTCCACTGTGCTGTCAGCACCCCTATCCATTCCCCCCATCTGATCTTTTAATAATGGTTGCAAAACTATACACATCACTGAGTGTGACTTCTTTGGAGACTAAGGAGAAAATTTTTCAGGAACAGCCAGGGTTTTTTTTTTGTTGTTGTTTGTTTGTTTTGTTTTGTTTTGCCTTTCGTAATATAGGACACCGCACATACCCCTAATTCCCTCTGGAACTTTTGGTCTTCATCCTTGAAAGAATTTTTCATGAAGACTTCAATGGCTTCTTTCTCAACAACTCTGTGCAGATCTAGCAGCTCCCGGAGTGTTTCTGTGGGCAGCTGCATCTTCTGTCTCATCTGCTGGTCATAGTGGGCAATGGCCTTTTGCACCGCAGCTGAGTTCTCTATCCTGGCCAAAGTCAGGACTGCATTCTCCATACAGGGCAGTTCCCCATTGCTGATGGCGTTGACATACGTCAGCACTAGGCACTGTAGACCTACAAAAGGGAATTTAAATAAGTAATGTCTATCAGTTGGTAGACAGAGTACCCTGTACAGTCTTCAAGATTCTCTGAGAAAGAATAGCAATGTAATAATTTATTCATATCAAGGCCCAGAGGAGATTAAACCGTCTTTTTCATTCTCTTTCATTTGTTCCAAAGATAGGTGTTGAACTGAATGGCTCACAGTAAATTTTGGAGAAGGAGGGACATAATGTTACATCTCGTTCCTTTATTACTCCTCTTTGATTTTTCTAATCCCCTCTTCCCTTCCATACGCTCTCTTTTCCTGTCCCTCTTGATTGATGAAAATGGCCAGAGAAAGCTATGCTTTTTCCTTTTTAGTGGTGAAGGTTACTAGTCCAGGGTCTAGTCTATATAAATGGATCTACCCAGATATTCTTTCACGAATCTACAAATAGATTATCAAATCAGACAGGCTTGCTCAGAACTTTGCTGACTGCAGGCCTGAAAGCATCATATCCCAGGAAAACCTCCTCCTTGTAAAATCCAATGGGTTGTATGCACAATGCTCAGCCCGTTATATATGAAAATTTACCTTGCTCCCCAGAGTCCCCTAAATCCTCGTATAAAGTTTAGAATCAACTGTAACCTCCTGAAACCTTCTTCTGGTCCCTCAGAATACCATCCCTCTGTATTCACCATCCCTCTCCACTCTCCTGAGAGAACCCTTCATCCACTCTCTTCTTCCCAGTCATATCTCTTTCATTTCCCTGAAGTTGCACAGTTGTGTCCTGTTTTAGGCATTTTTATTTCATCCAGTGAAACTACTTTCTGTTCTTATGGACATCTCCTACCTATTTTCAAGTCCTCAGAACATTTAACTTCAAATAAGTGTTCTCTATGTCCGAATATAATTATATCCATCCTATTTAGAACTCTTGCTTTCTTGTGACAGTCTTTGTTTTTATTATGTGAGTTACTACTTATCACTCCGCATTTTATTTTTTAGTACTAAAGTACCTTTTGGTTGTGCTATGCTGCAATAAAGATAGAAACCACATCTTTACCCCTAGTTTTTTTTCTTTGATTTCTCTTT